TTTTCATATATTCCAAAGCAGAATTCATTTTTCCTTCATTTCCTCCAGCAAGTATGGTGTCTTTGTCTTACAAATACTTTTTCAAAATAGCCATGACAAACTTAGAAGTCACTAACAAGATAAATAGGCTGCAGAATTACTCTTAGACAAAACAGAAAGTTAATAATATGTTTTCAAGGAGTACCAAATCCTAATTCCTATCCTCTGCACCAATCAAAGAGGTTTGTGACCTCATTCTCTTCCAGCAAATTCTCATCTCTAATTCTACATTCGTATAAGGGTGAATGATGGGAGTCTACTTGAAGGAGACTTCCCATTTGCTCAGATCCCGGTCTGCCCAGCCCAAACTTGTATATTGGTCAGGACTGAATACTCTAGACTTCCAAGGGTAGTTTTTTTAAAAAAGAAAAAAAAAAAACAACCCTTAAATTATTTGTCAACATTATACAACTGGACAGTTTCAAAATATGTGTGCTGTTTACTATGGAAATACTGACTTGCATTTTTTGTTTGTAGGTCTGCATTCTTGAGATATGGGTTCAATTGTTTCTGATCTGAGCAGTGTCATCCCTAGATTTTAGTACCTACTTTTCAAATGCACACACTTCTAGAAATTTTTTATCAAATCAGCCAGGGTCGAACTAATGATTTTGTAGATAATTTTTTGAGGATACAAATTTTCTGAACATAGTTTTATTTTTACTTCTTTTTTGAAGGGTATTTTGAACTGATATAAAATACTAGGAGGCTGAATATTTTTTTTTTCTTTTTAGCCTTTTAAAAATATCATTCTGTTTTCTTCTGGTGTTAAGAACATTAGCTGTATTTCTTATTACTGTTCCCCATATGTAATGTCTCTTTTTTCCTCTAGCTACTTTAAGGTTTTCTTTTTAACTTTGCTTTTAATCAATTAAGATTTTCTTTTTATCTTTGCTTTTAATCAATTCACTACAATGTGCCTAAATGTGGATTTCTTCTGATTCAAGTATCCTAAGATTCTTGGATTTTTGAGTTGGAGGTTTTATTGATTTGTTTGATCTTGGCTTTTTGTTGTTGTTAATCAAATGTACAAAAGTTTTTACTATTTTTTTTTCTTTTCTGCTCAATTATTTTTTTCTGGGACTTCTCTTACATTGTTTTTAGATTGCTTGATGTTTTTCAACAAGTTTCCAAATCTTCACTCTGTCTCTTTTTTCAGTCATTATTTCTCCAAGTACCTTGAATTGGGTGATATATTTTCTTAAAAATCTATTTTCAAGGGACGCCTGGGTGGCTCAGTCATTAAGCGTCTGCCTTCGACTCAAGTCATGATCCCAGGGTCCTGGAATCGAGCCCTGCATCAGGCTCCCTGCTCTGTGGGAAGCCTGCTTCTCCTTCTCCCACTCCCTCCGCTTGTGTTCCTGTTCTCACTGTGTCTCTCTCAAATAAATAAATAAAATCTTTAAAAAAAATCTATTTTCAAGTTCACTTATCCTTGCTTCTGTTTTGTCAAATATTCTCCCAATCTAATTTTAATTTTAAATCTTTAACTTAATTTTAAGTCTTTAACTTTCTGTTTAAGGATATCCACTAGTTTTTTTCCCAATTATTTCCATCTCTTAAAATTCCCCAGCTACTTATTAATTATATCCATCTTTTTCTGAAATTATTCACATGTTCATCATAGTCCCTTTAAAGTCTGTGCCAACTAATTCTAATATTTGTAATAAATGTAAATTTGCTTCTATTGATTGTTTTGATTGGGTAACATCTACATGCTCTTTGAAATAGTTTATAATGTTTTATTGCATTATAGATAGTGTAAATAAAAGACTAGTGGATTTTGAAATATAAATATTTATATTTATATAGAGTTACAATTGTATTTGTAAACTCTTATGATTATATGATCAATATACATATACACACAAAAATATATGTATGCAAATATATTGATTTATCATTTTCCAGAGAATGTAAATACTTCCTTCTGCATGTTAGGAAGGCAAAGAGCTTAACAGTAAGATTCCTGAAAGAATTGAGTTAAGCAGACTGTCCTTCCCCAGTTTAAATCAGCTTGAATGCATCACGACGTTGCCTATACTCCCACCAGGTATATTGGCACTCTGATCTGAGCTCATTAGTATATTCTATATCTCAGTTGAGGGGGAGGCTAGCCCATAGTCTTAGACTCTTTTAGTTTGTCTTCAATTCAAATAAGGTTCCTTCATTTCAGTTATTGTATTTTACAGTTTTAGTATTTTCATGTTCACTTTTATATATTCTAGTACTCTTGTTAAAATTCTTAAACTTTGTGTTTAATTTCTTAAGAATAATAATCACAATTATTTTTCTGAACATTTCCAATATGTACATTATCTGGATATCCTGTAGGTTTGTTTGTGCTCTGTGTTGTCTCTTAGTTTGGTTTGGTTTTGCCTTTTGGTAGCATTGGTAATTTTAATCAATTACCATAGGTAATTTGAGTCTCTGAATGGGTCTATTTGCAGAGGAATTTACTTTGGTTGTACCAAGCTGAGGTAAGATTACTAACACTTTGAATATGAAGAATTATACAATTCAGAGGTTGACTTCAGTTCCTATGAAACATATTCTATGTTTGCTTCTTCATAAAATTCTAATAGAGTCTTTAAAAGCCTAGAATGTTTACCTGTACTCCAAGATCTTAAAAAAAAAAAAAAAAAAAGGGCCCTGGAATCTGATTCTATTCATTCGTACCAGGAGCCCATTAACATTTTTGGAATCAGTGGAAAACTCAGGAAGAAAGTAGCCCAAATACCGACATTTATTTTTACTTAAAACTTGTCCTAATTTTGATTTAGCAGTTCTTAGCTGATAGTGCTCCAGAGTTTGTGCATTATCAAGGTTTACTAAGGTTCTTATTCATAAGAGTGATTTAAGCTATCCAGTCTGATGCTGTCAAAAGTTATATTTGATATAAATATCATGTTGTTTCTTTTTTTTTTTTTAAGATTTTGTTTATTTATTTGACAGAGAGAGACACAGCAAGAGAGGGAACACAAGCAGGGGGAGTGGGAGAGGGAGAAGCAGGCTTCCTGTGGAGCAAGGAGCCTGATGTGGGGCTTGATCTCAGGACACTGGGATCATGACCTGAGCCAAAGGCAGCCGCTTTACCAACTGAGCCGCCCAGGTGCCCCTCATGTTAAGTTTCTATATATGAGGATGGTTGGTAAGAATATTTATTCTGTGATAAATGCAAAATTATTTAGAACAGACAAGAAACCTGGAGGATTATCACTAGAAATCTGTTCCAATAAATTTAATAGGTGAATATGAAATCATTCAAAACTCAGACTTTAAAATGGTGGGGTAACGTGCAGCCATTATTAATAACTAGCGCTGTTTGCCAAATAAACCCTCCATTTGTTGTAAATTAACTGCCCAAATGTTCCCTAACCATACCAGCTAACTTTCTGCTTTGTTCATTCCATTTTATCTTCCCAAACTTCCTCTATTCCATCCTATGCGATTTCTGTTTTTGTTTTTCATAGTAGCTTCTATCAGGAAATTGTGAACGTTGATTTCTCTATAAAACTGGGATCTTTGACCAGACTTTGACTCACTTTGAGCTTCCACTGCCTCATGTTTAAAAGAAATTTAGCACATAAAATATATCTCCCCCTCAGAGTGCTGCTTAAGATTCTAAAGAAATAATGACTTGAAAATCTATTTGAACATTTATTTAGCTCAACACAAAGATAATTTTTTTTAAAGATTTTATTTTTATTTATTTGACAGAGAGAGAGACAGCAAGAAAGGAAACACAAGCAGGGAGAGGGGGAGAGGGAGAAGCAGGCCCCTGACGAGCAGGGAGCCTGATGCGGGGCTCTATCCCAGGATCACAGGACCACAACCCAAGCTAAAGGCAGCCACCCAACGACTGAGCCACCCAGGCACCCCAAAGATAATTCTTTTTTATTATTAGATTTGTCTCTTTATCAAACTGTGTCTCACATAGCAACATATTGTTTTCTGGAATACACGGCCTTTAAAAGATTAACACATATCTATAAAAAATAAAAATAATGGATCTCCACTTTTTGCTGACATAAAGGCTGTGGTTCTCAGCCATATGTCAATTGAGTTATTGGAAAACATAGAGGCAAATACATATCCTGAACCAAAAATCTTTACATCAAGCATAACTGGCTTCCTTCTTATATTACCATAAAGAAATGAATTCCATTGATTTCTGGGATTCAAAGATTTCAATACTTTTCTCAGCCAACATTGGATGAGTTTAATGGAAGTTATTCAAGCTTTATATTTAGTATTTTCTGAAAATATGAAGCCACAAGTTAGATTTATATTTAATTTTTGTTTCATGTGCAAACCTACCAATATATCTAACTTTTATTCTTTCTCTCTACATTTCATATGTATACACCAAATTTTGTACTTTTCCTTCTCCTATGAAAAGAGATACAAGGACTTACATGATTTAAAGGATTAGGCTTTCCTAATTCTTGAGATATTTATTTATACAAGGTTCATATAAAAAGGAAAAAAATCTAAATATGAAAATTTTATTTCAAATTCTCCAAATTCTATGATTTCAAAGCTTACTTTGTGAAGCAAATTAATCTTATATTAACCTTTACATACATATATTATGTATATATTTTTGTATATTAATTAATATACCCAATAACACTAAAAGAAATTCCTACTCAATAAATACGTAATAAATAATAATAAAAACAACATATGTGGATGCCAGGATAAATGTGTTTATTTACTTAAAATAATTAGTTTTTTTAAATTTTTGAAGGATGTGTAATAATTATGATTTCCATCACTAACGCAGCTATATGATTTAAAACTTAGGCTTATTGCTTAGTTTTACATTCTGCAAGAACCCATCTGAAAGCTAGACTGGTGGCCGTAGAGTGGGTGAGCAATTAGTCTTTGGAGACCATAAAGAGAGTTGTTTCTTTTGAGAATAAAATAGCTAACATTCTGCAAAACGATCTGGACATTCAACAAGTTAATCTGTAGAAGCCAGGTCCATAGATTGGTTTGTAGCAAAATGGCTGGAGATTATGAAAACCAAAATAAGTTGGGTAGCAGAATCTGGATCCACAGCCCAAGGTGGGGAAGCCACAGACTCCATAACCCAGGGGTTTGCAATCACTGGACCTACAGCCCAGTGAGTAGCAGCTTCTGGATCCATAGCCTAGAGGACAGTGGCTGCTAGACCCAAAGCTGGGCCCAAGGTAAGTCATCCAGCAGGGATTGCAGAGCGTGGAGGTCCTCCGGCGATAGCAGGACATCTGGCAGGGGCTGGACACCACACGGGATGTCTGGCAGCTGGTGGGCTCACAGCAGGTCTCCTGACAGCCACTGGAGAGAGAGGAGCCCAGTTGGCAGGTGCTGGGAGAGCAGAGGTCAGTGCGGTAGACCAGGTTGCTGGGGTAAGAGCCACAGGAGGAGCCTGGGTAGCGCAGGTAGCCCCCAAGGGAGCGGGAGGAGAAGTTTCCAGAGCAACAGCTGTAGGACATATTCATAGGAGATGTGAGCTCTGCTGAGAAAACACTGTGAATACTGAATTCACAGAGAATATTCTGAGGTTTATTCTACCTCCTGGACTGTGGCATTTATACATTCTCAGCTGTAGGTGTCGAAAGTGACAAAAGCTTCATCCCTATATTTGTACTCCTTCATTTGCATAGTATTAACTCATCATTTCTGTAATTTGCAGCTGCATAGTTCCCTACCTATTGTATTTATGAGGGCTATAATAAATTTTGTTATAACACAAAGCCAAGGAAAAATTCTTATATCAGAAATGCTATGACTGTTTTGCATTAATGGCCATGTCAACTTGGCCAGGAATGTCCCTCCTTTTCTTCCTGGTATATGCTGTACATGTATCTGATCCTAGCTTTGCTGGGGTGTGAGTTCCTTCTAAGGGTGGAGATGAAAATGACATCACCTTTCTTTCTTTCTCTCTTTCTTTCTTTCTTTCTTTTTCTTTCTTCTCTTTTCCTTTCTTTCTTTTTCTTTCTTTCTTTCTCTTTTTGTCTTTCTTCCTTCCTTCCTTCCTTCCTTCCTTCCTTCCTTCCTTCCTTCCTTCCTTCCTTCCTTCCTTCCTTCCTTCTTTCTTTCTTTCTTTCTTTCTTTCTTTCTTTCTTTCTTTCTTTCTTTCTTTCTTTCTTTCTTTCTTTCTATTTGGTTACAGGAATAGCTTCAGCTTTGCCAAAAAGCCTTCTAAAGATTGAAAACTACTTGTGACCATTCAGTTTTATCCAAAACTTATTTTCCAAGTATTAAATATTAATGCAGAGTATCTCATACCCAATGGAAAAGGCCCAACAATGTTACAAACTGAATGGAGAAAGGTTAGGAACGGAAGGAACCCTAGACAAGTATTGGGAAGCAAGATGCAAGAATAGTACGTTGACAAAGTTGCAAATGGAGACCAGTTTGGCCAGTTTGAGCCCCTCAAAGAGTGTTTATCAATTGAGATGAGGGGAAGAAGTAAGTGACAGAGGACAGAGTGAGACATTCAGGTTTCTCCTCTACCTTATTTTAAATTTCTAATTTGTTGAATTAAATGTTGTTCAAATCAAAACAATTTCAAATGGATGAATTTTTAAATACATTGTGCCTTTTTACCATCTGTCTTTATAGTCATCCAGACATCTCACTCTTCTAGAATAGCCCTAGTTGGGCATTGCAGTCCCATCAAGTTTTCTCTCACATTTTTCTCACTTATTGTCAAGCATCTTCTTTTTTCCCTAGACCACCTCCTTGAGATTAGTACTCTAGTGCAGGATACCTAAATGCTTACCTCTAATGAGCTCTCTAAATTAAATACTATAAGACTCTCTTTAGGTACAAACAAAATATTCTCAGAAATATGGAAGTGCAGGAAGAAATATAAGGTAAATGTGTGGGTAAATATAAATTACATTTGAATACAAATTTATAAAACAATAATTGAAATGATTTTTGGCTTTAAAATATATGTATTTAAAATGCACAAGAATAATAATGCTTAAAAAGAGAGGGATTTGATATAAGGCATTCTAAGATTTTAGCATTGTTGGGGAAATTGTACAATAATAGTTTATATTTAAGCAGAAATAAATCAAGAATGTACATTGAAATTTCTAAGAAATTCTAAAATTAGTAAAACAATGCAAATATTACACTTAAATGGGGGAAATGAGAGTACTAAGGTTTTTTTTGTTTTGTTTTTAAATAATTGTTTTTTGTTAGATTTTTAAAAATTTATTTATTTGACAGAGAGAGACACAGAGAGAGAGGGAACACAAGCAGGGGGAGTGGGAGAAGGAGAAGCAGGCTTCCCACCAAGCAGGGCGTCTGATGCGGGGCTCGATCCCAGGACCCTGGGATCATGACCTGAGCTGGAGGCAGGCACTTAATGACTGAGCCACCCAGGTACCCTGAGAATATTAAGGTTTTTGAACTAATATTAAAAAAGCAGAAAAGGAAAGCAAAAGTAATTAAAAGACCAAATAATAAGAAAATTATACATTGATAGATATAAACATTGGTAGATATAAACTCATATATATATATATAAACATACATACATACACGTATATGTATGTGTATACATATATACATATGAATATATATAAAACATGAAAGGACTAAGAGTTCCAATACAAAGACTTGGAATGCCAGATTGAGGTACAGATAGAAGAACCATAATATCCCACTTTTAAGAGTAAGCAGTAAAGGGGTGCCAGGGTAGGGGGTGCTCAGTTGGTTAAGCTTCCAACTCTTGATTTTGGCTCATGTCCTGACCTCAGGTTTGTAAGATCTAGCCCTGCATTGAGCTCTTCACTGAGAGTTGAGCATACTTAAGATTCTCCTTCTCCCTCTCCTTCTGTCCCTCTCCCCTACTTGTGTGCTCTCTCTTTCTCTCAAATATGTGTATGTATATATGGAGATTTTATATTAAAATGTTGGCTCTGAGTTGTGGAATAATGGCTTCCAAGTATGTATTTGATTCCTATCTCTGTTTTTTACCTATTTTTTTCAAATCTGTGGTTTGTGGAACTAACAGATTTCCATTATCTATTTTAGATCCTACTTTTGCCACCCATCTAATTATTCTATGGGAGTTGCTGTTCAGCTTGTTACTGACCATCCAGAAGATTCAACTTTGATTGGTCAACTTAACAAGTAGGCAGTTACTTAAAAACCATGACTTGGAATATTAAGATTGATGGCATCAGGTAATTGTTGTCTATTTGTTATTGAGAAAGTGTTTCTATTATATTTGCCCAATGTAGACTAAGGGTTACTTGTATATGTCCCCTGGGAAGTCATACCATGACCAAGAAAGTATACAGTCTTAAGAATGGGAGGAGAAGTCAGCTCATACCTGAATTTCAGACTTTTTCTTATTGACGGGTAAAGACATTTTCCTTCTCACTACCAGACAACTTTCAGTACATATTTTAGTGTCAGTCTGCTGCTGAGATGTTCTCTCAATTTTTTGTTGTCTGAAATTATCTTCAATTTTAAAGCACCTATTTATTGAGCATAGTATTCTAGGATGGCATCTATGTTCTTTCAGAATTTTGAATATTTCATTCAATTATCTTTGTAAGTTGTATTTTAGTCCTATTGTCACTTTTTGTTTTTAAAAAGAAATCAGCTTTCTTTCTCAGGTTTCTTAGAAATGTTTCTGTCATGGTGTTCATCAGATTTACTAGTGCGTAGGTGTGGTATTCTCGGTCTTTAAATTTTACTTTGCAGCCTTTATTGACTTTGGGAAAAATTTTAAATTTCTCCGCAATATATTTTCTCCCCAGTGTTATCTCTTTTCTACTTTAGGACTCCAAATACAAGTATGTTAATTTTTTTCACTATAGTCCATATTTGCATAAATTCCTTTCTCTGTTTTACCTCCATTTCTCACAATACTTTAGTTTAGATAAATTGTTCTCAACCAAGAGTGATTATGCCTTCTATCCCCCAGGGAATATTTGGCAACATCTGAGAGACAATTTTGGTTTTCATGACTAAGGAAGACTCTGATCTACTTTGTGTTCATTTCCTTCTATTTAAAATAAACTGGGGGTGCCTGGGTGGCTCAGTTGGTTAAGTGTCTGACTCTTGATTTCAGCTCAGGTCATGATTTCAGGGTTGTGAGATAGAGCCCTGCAGTGGGCTCCGGGCTGGACATGGATCCTGCTTAAGAGTCTCTCTCTTCCTCTTCCTCTGCCCCTCTCAAATAAATAAATAAATAAATAAATAAATAAATAAAACAAATAAATAAATAATAACCTGAATTTTAAAAATTGTCTTTCTCATAGTTCTATCCGAGGGTCCAAGAAAATAATGAGTAGGATATTCTTTGAGCCTTGATTATAGCACTATTTAGGGATAATGTCTTATATAATTTTATTCCTTAGTAACCTGCTGTTTATCTTAGTCTCATATGGGTTTCTTTAAGTACTTGGCCTACGAAAGATGAGAACACTACCCAAAGAGTAAAGATATAGTGTCCCCAACTTTATGGTGAGATCCAAATGAAAAGTTAGGTCCACTGCTATAAAGTGCTTTTTGTTTTCACCTATATTTACTTTGAGCTTTAGTAAAACATTGATAGGGAATCACATACATTCTTCCCACTAAGAATATCTTTCCATACATATAAAAAAGTGAATTATGTTGGACATTCATCAATCGATGTGTGAGTCTGGCCATTTTTAATAAGATTTGGGTAAACTCATTAGAATTCATTTAAGGCTCATATATATTTTTAAACTGGCATTTTAGTTTTTCTCTCATTTATTATATTAACCATGCAAATCTGAATGTTATTCTTGTTAATGAAATTCCTGAAGAATCTGTCAACTTCAGTCACATTCCCTCTGTCCACATAGATAAAACTCATGTTTTTTGAAGTACTCAAAATATATCCTAATTCTCAGACCATAATTCATAAAATTCTAAAACTAAAAAATATGGATGTCCAATAACTGTAGTTGGAATGAGAAAAATATCCATAATCTGAAGAAATCAGATCAAATTCACAAGTTTTTAGACTTCCAAAATTTACTATGAGATGCACATTGAGCTTTTATTAAACCTGTCAAATCAAACTTAACACATACTCTGCTCAATAATATATAAAAAATAACATAAAAATATTTCAATAAGAATAAATTAGTTTATTGGATTATAATCATTTAACTTTTTATCCATTTGGGGCAGAAAATAAATTACCATGAACTTCATCCATAATGAGTTAAGTCATTAAATTAAAAGGATGCAAAAATCAGTCTGTTAGTCTATGCTTGATAGAAATTGGGTAAGGAACTGGTGATCAAAGACTAAGATAGCTGTCACTGGAAATAATGAGCATGATGGAACTCTGGGTAGACATTTTGATGACTTTGCATAAATGTACTAGAATTCAACAAGTTGATTAGCAGAAGCGAGATACATAGGTAGATTGACAACAAGATGGCTGGAGGCTACCAGAAGCAAAGTCAGTTGGGTGGCAGAAACTGGATCCATAGCTCAGGAAAGAGAAGCCACGGACTCCATAACCTAAGGGTCTAAAACCACTGGATCAACAACCCAGTGAGTAGCAGCTAGTAGATCCATAATCCAAAGAGAAGACACTGCTGGACCCATAGATATGATATAAATTGATTTGCAGGGACTGCAGATCATGGAGATCCTCGGGCAGTAGCAAAATGTCTGGCAGGGGCTGGACACCACACAGGATGCCTGGCAGCTGGTAGGCTCACATCAGGTCTCCTGACAGCCGCTGTGGAGAGAGGAGCCCAGCTGGCAGGTGCTGGTAGAGCATCAGTCAATGCTGTAGACTAGGTTGTTGGGGGTAAGAAGAGCCATAGGAAGAGCCTGGGTAGGTAGCTCAGGACCTCCCTCCCCCAAGGGCCTGGGAAAATAAGTTTCCAGAGCAGTAGCTGTGGGACATGTTGACAGGAGATATGAGTTCAGATTAGTCACAATGAGAAAATTCTGAAGTTTAAGATGATTTTGTGCACTGGGTATTTTATATACTCATCAGATGGTACAGCACAGTATAGGTAGAGTCCTCTCATATCATCTGCATATCCTCTTCTGCATTTGTGTAATTCATTAACCTTCTCTGTCATTGCAGTTGACTAGCTTCGTACCTATTCTACTTACGGGTGCAATGGGTACAGTGATCATTCCTATCTCAGAAATTTCAGAACAATTTGCCAGTATTCCTCAACCTATTATGGCCAGGAAAGCCCCTTCTTTTCCCCCTGGCTATGACTCCGTGTATATCTATTCCTGCTTTGCTCGGGAATTCTTTCTGTCACTTTTCTACTATGTCAAGTGATAAGTGACATAGCTTTATTTTTTATAAGGATACTTCTGATTGATTCTACTTGTCACCACTGATTTACATTCTCCAAATTTATTTTCCATCTATCACTTAGTTTTATACAGTACTTCTCACATCCAATGGAGGGAAGAAAAATAACACATAATGGGAAGTGGCTAAAAATAGGAAGGAACCAGACAAACATTTAAAGGCAAAAGACTGAATTGAGATGGAGTCACAAGAAGAGGTTGACTCAGGCCATATGAAGAGGGAGCAGGAGTGATGGTGACAATGTGGGAATCTGGAAAAAGGGAATGAAGAGAAAGGGATTTCAAGTATCTCTTCTACCTACTTTTAGCCTATGGAACTTTTCATCTAAATGCTATTTAAGGGGCACCTGGATGCCTGAGTTGGTTAAGCATCTGCCTTTGGCTCGGCTCATGATCCCAGCGTCCTGGAATGGAGCCCAACATCAGGTTCTCTGCTCAGCGGGGAGCCTCCTTCTCCCTCTTCTTCTGCCTGCTGCTCCCCCTGCTTGTGCTCTCTTTCTCTCTCTGCCAAATAAATAAATAACATCTTTAAGAAAATGCCATTTAAAAAATATTATTAATGTATTTTTACATATTTTCATTCACATTGTCCAAATTTTAAAAGAACCTGGGGCCTACCTCCTAGAACAACTCAGCCTCTCCACTGTTCAGACTGAATGAGTTTTGTGCGTTTTCAAAGTCAGTTCCTTTCCTGTAATTTCCTCCAAAATATAAAATAAGGGTGCTGGGTGGCTCGGTCAGTTAAGTATCGACTCTTGATTTCAGCTCAGGTCATGATTTCAGGGTCAGGAGATCGAGTGCCCTGTCAGGCTCCATGCTGAGTGTAGAATCTGCTTAAGATTTTTCCTCTGGGGGTACCTGGGTGGCTCAGATGGTTAAGTGTCTGCCTTCCGCTCAGGTCATGATCCCAGAGTCCTGGGATCGAGCCCCGCTTTGGGCTCCCTGCTTGGCAGGGAGCCTGCTTCTTCCTCTCCCTCTACTATTCCCCTTGTTTGTGCTCTCTCACTCTCTCTGTCAAATAAATAAATAAAATCTTAAAAAAAAAAAAATTCTTCCTCTGTATCGCCCTCTGCCCCTCCCCCCACACTCTCCCTCTCCTCTCTCTCAAAAAAAATGCTTATATAAAATAACCCTCTTTTATCACCCTTATTCTTCATTTTATTTTTCTTTTGAACAATATAATCATTGAGTATTAATTTCCAATGGGTTCACTATTCAGATAAATTTACACTGAAATAAATACTAACAGATATTTTTGGGCTGAAGGAAAATAATCTTAGGTGGAAACAACAAATTCCAAGAAAGAATAGAGAGACTATTTGCTAGTTGTATTCTCCAGGAAGCAGGCACTGAGACACTGATAGAAGAACAAAAAGTTTTAAGAGAGGAGCACCTGTGAATGAAAAAAGCCATTCTACCACCTTGTTTAGTCACTGACCAGGGGCTGCCATGAGAAAAACTTGACCTTGGCTTGAAAGCTGAGGGAGAGCCCAAAGAAGCCAACAGAGAAACCCTGTCAGCTGGCCTCACTTGTCAGCCAGACAGCCATTCCTTTTGTGAAGTGATGTGATGTGTGTTCCAGTGCAGATCTGTACCTGTCATAGTCCACTGGTTGCATCTTCAGGGTTAACTTGTCAGGAGAGAGATTCTCCATGGCTGTGGTAGAGCTCTATTCCTGAGGGGAAATATAAAAGGGCGACGCCAGTGGCATGAATCACGGTCCCTGTCACTGCATTTGGTCTTGGAGCTGCAGCTGATGCTCACCATCCCCCTCCTTCACTATCCATTAGAAATTTGTCTCACCCTTAGTTACCGCCTCTGGTGGTCATGGTGGATTTCTTGGTGGTATTACCCAAGCCTTATTCCTGAGAAGTGTGAATCCTGATAATTGTACCTTTTTCTTGCTAGAGTTGCTGCATTTGACAGGTCATGTCCACAGTTGGTTGGGAGGTTCCAAGAGCCACCCAAGGAGACCAACTGAACTTCCCACGTATTCCCTCTTCCCTCATTGTGTAACAGTAACCCATTAGCTTTCTACTAATCAGGATCATCTCCTCTTGCATAGATGACAACTCTTTCTTTTTGTCTGTCGGTACCTGAATACAAGGAGCCCAAAGTGCTCAGGCAGCAGCCATAGTTGTAGTTCAATGAGACCCTTGATGTGGTCCTTAGCAAGTCTGCCTTTGGGAACTGGGCCTCTATCCTTGAAAATTCCAGCTGCAGAAATAGGAAGCACAAAGTCCTTAAATGGGTCTTTGGAAGTAATAGTAGGTGGGTATTTGGAGCTCAATCTTTTGAGGATATTGCCTCCATGCTAACACTTCAACTTTGTAGTCAGTAGACCAATCCAATGTACCATCAGGCAGGGAGCTTCAGAGTGGTGTGGTTTTTGATAAAACCTGTGGATCTCACTTACACTGTCTCTACTGTGAAGTGGATTTCCTGTGTGGATGCTACATTGTGAACAATCCCATGCTGATAGATCAAGCTATTCATTAACACCTGAATAATGGTGCTGCTGAGGTAAGCATTAAAAGCAAACCCTTACACTGAATATGTATCTATACATTTGAGAATGAACACTGATCTTTCCAGGGCAGAAGAGGACCACGTTCAACTTACAACCAAGCAGCCAGTTGGTCTTCTTGAGGACTAATGTCATACTGGGAGTTTAGCATTAGCCTCCATTGCCAAGATTGGATGTTCACAGGTGGCAATTATATCAGCCTTGTAAGTAGGAGCTGATGCTGCCTGAACCATTCATAGCCTCTGTGGTCCCTTGTTCATCTTGTCATTTTATCATCTTGTAGGGATTGCTGACAAAGGTAAGCTCACATCAACTGGCAGAGTCATTTTGTTTACTTGATTGTTTCATTCCTCTTCCATGGTGGATGCGTTCTGGTGAGCACTAAGAGGAAATACAGATCTTCACATTTTGTGCCCACTGCATGTGTCTATCCATACATTTCCACACCAGATTTCTTTGTATCAATATTCTAATATTCTCCTTTCCAGGTCCCTAACTAGCTGATCAGGTCAATTGCCACTGTCCAGGAATTTAGATGTATCAGATGTGTTTTTTCCTTTTGTCAGCAAAAGTCAAGGTCCCACATCCTTTGGAGGAAATATGCTCTATATTGCTCCTGAGATTATTATTCATATAAAGTTTATGTATAAAAAAAGGATTCAGAAAAAAGTTTTAAAGAAAGAAATGTCTAAAGTCCAAAATAAATTAGTTCAAATTCACCAATTTATTAGATTTCCAAAGTTTGTTCCCAGAGACATAATAAATATTAACTTGAAAACCCCCCAAAAAAACAAAAGAAAAAAAAATTACCCAATTAAAACTAACAAAATTAGCAGAATATTTGGAAGTCAGAATGAATGAGTTTATTACACTATATTCATTTAGGTTTTCATCTCTCTTGTGAATAAAATGTATGAACACGAATCCCATTAATTCATTAACATTAGTTCATGTTTATTAACATAAATTCCATTAATTGATCTCACAATTTATTTCATTAATTCCACTAATTCTATAAATTCATCCAATAAAATTAGTCATTAAGTTCAGTATATGTTAGAGATTTTGGCCTTTTTTTGGCCGGCACGTTGTGGCTGGAAAAAAAAGGTAATTGGAGAGTTTTTCCTGAACATCATGAAGATGATAAACTCTCTGTTTAGAGGTTAGACACATTGCTCTAAAGGTCAGGATCCTCAACAAGTTGATGTATAGAAGCCAGATCCACAGGATGGTCTATAACAGGATGACTGGCAGCTTCTGGAAGTGGAGTAGGTTGGGCGGGAGAATCTGGATCCATAGCTCAGAGAAGGGAAGCCATAGACTCCATAACCCAGCGATCTGAAGCTCTGGGATCCACAACCTAGTGATTGGCAGCTTCTAGATCCATAGCCCAGGGAATGGCAGCTGCTGGACCCAATGCCCACAGACCCAGAGCAAGTCATCTGGCAAGGACTGGAGAGCATGGAGGTCCTCGGGCGGTGGTAGGACATCTGGCAGGGGCTGGACACCACACGGGATATCTGGCAGCTGGTGGGCTCACAGAAGGTGTCCTGACAGCCACTGGGGAGGGAGGAGCCCAGCTGACAGGTGCTGGGAGAGCATAGATCAGTGCGGTAGACCAGGTTGCTGGGGCAGGACGAGCCACAGGAGGAGCTTGGGGAGCGCAGGTAGCCCCCGAAGGAGCGGGAGGAGTTGTTTCCAGAGTAGCAGCTGTAGGACATGTTGGCAGGAGATCTGAGTTCAGCTGAGTGACAGCGAGAAGATTCTGAGGTTGAATGTCACGTCCTGCACTGGGGCACTTTTATCCTCTCAGCCATGGGTGTGGCATTTTTTACAGTCGTCTTTCCCACACTTGGAATCTCTCATTTCCATATGTGTAATTCAATGATATTTTCTGTAATTGTTGGTGATTCCTTCCATCTCATATTTATAGGAGAATTCATCATGTTGTTATAGCACCAAGCCAACGAACTATTCCAAAGTCAGAAATGCTATGACTGTATGTCATTAATGCCAGCTAATCAGGGCCAGAAAAGCCCCTACCCTTCTCCTTGGCTGAGACTCATTGTGCCTTTGCTTGTACATTGGCTGGGGAATGCTTAGATCTAAAGGTGGGGATTAAGGTTAAGTCACTTTTTTTTTCTCCCTCAGTGGAATAGAGGCACCCTATTTTGTCACCAATGATTTTCTTTCTGTAAATTTATTTCATCCCCTAAAGTTAGTTTTCATATATTACATTATTACATATTGCCCCTCAAATCCAATGGAAAGGGGAAAATAGATAATATAAATTGATTGAGAAATTGGTGGATCACAGAGATAAATCAGGACAGATGTTTAAAGGCAAAATGACTAAGCAAGACTAATTTGAAGAGTCTCAGTGGATACCAATTTATACACATGCAAAAAATTCCAAAGAGTCAAATACTCTTGGAGTGAGGGAAGATAACTAGTGACATGATGGATCTTTCCATCTGTGTGTAATTCCAATAAAAATGGGTTCTGGATCAATATACTTTATAGCTTTTCATATATACATTGTCCCTTTTATCACCTGTCCTTACAGTGTGTCCAGTGATCCTGCTCTCCTAGAACAATTCTTATCACGCAGGACCTTCTGGTCATTTTTATCTTTAGATTCTTTCCTATAATTGTTTCCTTCATTATAAAAACATTTTTTCCCTACTTCAGTTCTTCAAGATTATTTTTTGACTGTAAAATATCCAAAATATTGCCTTTTATAGAGCTCTCCATGTCAAGCAAACCTAGGCTAAAATGAATACTGAAGTGTTTTCTCCAGTTAGGAAGGCAATTACCTCAAAGGGGGAGTTGTAATTGAAGGAGGTGATAAAAAAGATGGAGCTATAAGTGAATGGTCTACTCATTGTGCATAACACTAATAAAGTGGTTTGTGGTTCTTAATAAATAGGTAGAAGTAAATAGTAATTAAAGTGATCATTAAAATCTTTTGAAAACTTACTAAAAAATTTAAAAATTATAAAATAATAATAACCTAAAAGGGTAAAATTATAGCTTTAATCATTTTATTACCCCTCCCAGAAGTATGAAAATTTACTATTACAAATAGTAAATGTGTAAGTAGAAATCTGAAAGTATCAATAATTAAATTAAATATAATAGACTGAATAATCCTTATTGAAGACAGAATATCAGACTGGACTAGAAACCCAAGCTATTTCCTACTTAAAATAGATTTTCTTAAATATAAGGAAACAGAGAAGGGAGAAAGTAAAAAGATACATCAGACAAAAGAAACAAACAAAAATGCTACTTCTGTTTTACTAACTTCAAAGTTTGCTGTATGATAACATGTAAAGCATCATGTTATTAGATGTGATACAAGCTATTTCCTAACAATCATTCTGTCAGCCTTCCAAGATGAGATCCAGGATTTTGTGATTCATTTAGAGGTTACCCCAATGCCATACCATCCAGCAGAGTAGCCACTAGCCACATATATTAAGTTCAATTTATATCATTTAAAATTAAGTTAAATTAAAATTTTATTCCCCAGTCATGTTAGCCACATTCCATGTGCACAATAGATACATGTGGCTGATGGATACCATATATTGGAAAATGCAGATAAAAAGATTTTCAGCAACACAGAAAGTTCTATTGGGCAGTGCTGCCTTAGAGTTCACAGCATGCTTTGTTGACTTGCTAATCGAAATGAATACTTTTACTATTTCCGGTCCAGTGCAAGAATGTCAGAAATCTTAAGGTCAATTATTCTTACCCCAATTCATGTACTATGTTAGGATTTTCTGTATTGTAATTTCATGTATGTTTGTGTATATTGATATATATTTGCCTCCATGTTTTTATGAACAAAATTTGCTTAAATTTATCATATGTATATAAATATATATAATATATGTATATATTTCTTTTGTTTACTCTTCATTTCTTCTTACATCTTTTTTTGTATGTTCTGAGAGTATTTTGTTTCTGACTATATATAACTTTTATTATATATTTTATGTTGGAAGCCTAGTAACACATTTTTTACAGGTTTGATTGTTTGAAAATGTCTATATTTCTCCTTTTTTTTTTTTTTTGAGAGAGAGAGAGTGGGCGGGGGCAGAGGGAGAGAGAGAGAATCT